GTCATTATTCAAGCTACAAACAAGCATGCTGGAGAACTCGTATGAGCACCTGCAGGAAAAGCAATGACCGTGACCAACAGACTAAACAGATATTTGCATACTAATGCAAAACAAATCCTATCAGTGTCACCCAGAGCTATTGTGTTCAGTAGTTCAACTTTTCTGGACATTTGTCAATTCATTTCTGACTATTTCTTACCTTGCATTTTAAAAATATATATAATCCTATTCTGCATATGCTGTTGTGTATTTGCATATTTGATGAGCCACAATATTTCTAATACTGATTTATTACAAAATAGCAGACCATTTAATTCGATTAAAAAACATCAGAAAATGACAAATACATTATGGACATTTCCTTCAACTTTAAAACAATGCAATGCATTATTCTAAAGAATAACCAACACTTTACAGTAATTATTACCATTTATTAATCCATAACATGAACTAATAATAAGCAATATTTTTATGCTATTACGTTTATAAACCTTTTAAATTATAATTATTGGTGTTAATGAAATCATTGTTACTGTTTGTATTGCATTAATGCATATGGTTTTGGTCAAACTATTTTAACGTAAAATTTACGCTATTAAAAAACAACAACAAGTTAAAACTTTCCGCTCAATAAACTACTATTTAGCTACTTATAAGTAATGGGGTTTAGGTATTGGTAGGATTAGAGATGTAAATGAAGATCATTCTGTTTAAGTGCCAATAAACACTAACAGTTACTAACTTCGTGAGATCAGGCTGGATAAGTATTTAGCAAATGCTATGAATGGTTACTTAAAATTAAAGCAATGCTAAAATGTTTTTTTAATGTATTTTAATACAAGCAACGTGTTTGGATTAAAACATAAATGCTGTGTTTTCACTGTTAGTTCATGTTAGCTAATGCAATGTCAACAACTAAAACCATACTGTAAACTTTTAGCTAAATTTCCCAGTGTAGCCTCCTGTTTTGGCAGGTGCACTTAAAACAAGAACAGCCTAATATCATAAATAGGCTTATAATTTAATCAACATTTAAAAGTTTACCGCAAACTCGTGTTTATATAGCTGTGACAGACTTCAGAATAATAGCACAGGTGCTCATGATGCTCGCAGCGGATCATCAACAGGTTGTGTCCTCACCTGTGGAGGCGTTAAGTCGGGATGAGGATGTGGATTTCTCCGCCATGCGCTGCTGGACCTGCTGCTGGACGCGTCTCACTTTAGACAGTTGATCCCTCCTGCGGTGATCATCCGTCGGGATCGCATATGTGGTGACCGAGGTGTTGGGCTGTAAAGCAGAGAAGAACAGGCCCTCAGTGGCCGCAACTGCGCTCATTATGAAGTCCGAAAACTCGCTCCAGTAATTAGCTTGACCGCAGTACTAATCCAAACTAGATGTTTCTTCGGGTCGGAAAAGTTCTCGGAAATCCCTATTCCTATGGAAACTATGTTTTTATCCCCTCCCGCGAATGTTCCTCTAGAAGTATTCCGATATCAAATGAAGGTAAAAGTGCCCGGAGCGCAGGTCAGATGAAGAGCGCTTCTCGTACACTTGATCTGTGCAGCTGTGCGGGACTGTGTGTGAAGCAGAGCGGAGCGGGGCGGGCCGGAGAGCTGGCGAGGGCGGAGCCTTCTCACACACTGGCTGATCTGCTCTCAGCACTGAGATATGCATTATTATCAGACTCTTCACTTATTATATGAGGTCAGCAGTACACTGTCTGCTCGCTATTCATTCCTCATCTACAAGTACCATGTACTAAAAAAGATATATTAACCAAAGAAAAATATCTAAATAAGTCCCTGTGATTGCATTAAAAACAATATATATATATAGGCTATAGTTTTTTTCGATGTAGCCATACATTTAACATACCATGGTTTTCTCTGATTTTACAATGGTACATTATATGATCAAGTAAACTTTATTATGATAAAGTAGGGTTAAAGACCGTGGCTTTATATATTTTCAAGCAGTGCATTCGGAAAGTATTGATAGCGCTTCACTTTTTCTACATTTTTATTATTTTTTTTGTATTGAGCAAAGGCTGTGAATGCGTATGTACATGTGCTTTTCAGGTTTCATTCATTCATTCATTTTCTTTTTGGCTTAGTCCCTTTATTAATCCGGGGTCGCCACAGCGGAATGAACCGCCAACTTATCCAGCATTTGTTTTAAGCAGCAGATGCCCTTCCAGCCGCAACCCACCTATGAGAATTTTTTTTCAGATTTTTTATTTTTAATTAATTTGCAACAATTTCAAATTATTTTTTTACATTGTCATTATGGGGTATTGTGCAAGGAAATAAATGAACTTAATAAACTGTAAGTAAATGTTAATTTGTTGGTGAACTATTCCTTTAAGAAAGCTATAAGCAAATAAATAAATAAGTATTGAAAAACAATTATGCATATGATTTAGGCATTCTAAGAACATCCACTATACCAAAATTCTTGTCAGGTAGGCTATATTAATTTAGAACAAGAATATTTGATTTTAAATGCACACTTTGCCAATATCAAATCACCACGTTTTGATCATTTGTCAGCAAAATGTTTTTACAAATTTAAAATACAGTTTAGAATAATCATTCTTGTAGCCTATATATTAAAAAGTACAGGTCAGAATAAATCATGTATATAAATATATTAATGAATAATAGAAAATATGTAAGTGCATGAAATAAACTTTTTAAAAACCTTTTACACCACAACTGAACACCTCTCCTTTGACTAATGGATCAAATTATGGTGTCACTATGTATGTAATATCCTGCATTTCCTTGTATTTTTGCATATGTTATTTGTTTAAGCTTATTAAAATTTTAAAAAGACCAATTACTTTGGGCGAGCTTGAATGTTTCTTATAATATATTTAGCATGGTTTATTTATTTAATTATTTATTCATTCATTTGTTTATTTTAAGCATTATCTAGGCTATTTATGATCTAAAATTAATTTCAAGTTTTTTGTGAGTATACTATTTACAGTATTGTTTCAAAGCAGCTTTACAAAATGTGTATATTATTGCATTACAATCAGATTGTTAAAGTTACAATCAAAATACACAAAACTAAAAGTATTTACTCACCACTGATACAGAAGTCTTTGGTTTCATTTTTAAAAATGTTTCCCCCTTGAATGCAGCCTCACAATATCCTTTCAAGCTTATATGTCTTGTTTCTCTTCTCCTGTCTTTAACGATCCTGTTCAAAGAGGAGTATCTGAAAATGTGTTACCCACCCAAAAATGTCCTTACATCATCCCTCCTCCCAGGAACATTAGTTAATCCTAAGAAAAGCGATTGGAGGAAAAATGTAAGGTCACAAAAAACACGCTTCGAGGTGGAGAGCAAAACTGTTTAGTCAACAGGCTGAATGAGATTTGAGGCTTTTTTTTTCTGTCCAGCTGATGTAAATGTTATTTTTTATGAATGTATGAATGATTATATCACTGACTCATAATGAATGCATCCACGCAGTTAATCTACTTTATTCACATATTGCTGGAAATGAGCGGCCAAAGCCTTTTGTTTCAAACAAAGAGAGGCCCAGAGTTCAGTAGGACACACCCAATGCAGCAGTCCAGAACTTATTTCACGAGTTTACACCTTTGGTCACTATCTTTAGACAAGCAGATTTATGACTGACATTAGAAGAATTTGCTGATGCCTGAATATGAAATCTTTGTGAGTATAGGCTAATCAAGATAGCCCATGACAGTTTGTCAAAAAGGCACTAAAATGAAAAGAAAAAAGAAATGGGGCAAAAAAAAAGTATCTTACATTTAAACCACTACAGCTGTCGCGATTAAAATACAATTTGCAAATGGATGAAGAGTCATTTTCCGCAGCGCTGTGACAAATCAGACTCCTTTCTGTTGAGCTTTTGCATGCAGTAGCCAATCAGACGATGCGTTCAAAACTAGATATATCGCCCTCTGAAGGGCACTTCAAAGTGAAAAAAAAAATCATATTGGTGTCATTCCAAACCGAAGTGATTAAACTGCTACTACTACAAAGGGCCCTTTATAATGAAAGATTTTGAAAAATACAACTGAAGACACTTTGGGAAATTCTGAAAAATTGTTTGGTATCACACACTGCACTCAATTCGGAAAGACTCATCCATATGCTTTAATCTGTTCATTCAGAGGGAAATGTTGACTACAAATAGGCACTGATGCAAGTACAGTGCGAGGATAATTTGTCATCTTCTGTGTTTATAACTTGCATGATTTTGTCATTGAGCCACATGTTTTGCACATGCCGACATTCTCTCTGATTATCCTAATCAGAACAAGAGCAATTATGGGTTGGGGTCACTGTCGGTCGAACTATACACACTGTAAAAAATGTAGGGTTCCACAAATTTCATGTGTGTTGTCCCAACACAAATCATTTAGGTTAACTTAACACTTTTAGCAAATTTATGTGGATTGAACATAAAAGATTAAGTTGTCCCAATGAAATCACCAGAATTGTTGCACTCTACCAGTTTCAGTTTTAGATCTTTTTCAAGACAATTCTATACAGCTTAAAGTGACATTTAACAGCTTAGTTAGATTAATTAGGTTAACTAGGTTAGGGTAATTAGGCAAGTTATTGTATAACAACTGTTTGTTCTGTATCGGTAAATATATATCTTAGAGGGGCTAATAATTTTGACCTTAAAATTTTTTTTTTTTAATGAAAAACTGGTTTTATTCTAGCAAAAAAAAAAAAAAAATCAATAAATAAAAAATCAGACTTTCTCCAAAAGAAAAAATATTATCAGACATACTGTGAAAATTTCCTTGCTCTGTTAAACATCATTTGGGAAATATTTAAAAAAGAAAAAAAATCAAAGGAGGCTAATAATTCTGACTTTAACTGTTTATATGAAATATGTTGCCCCTAAATGGAAAATGTTCATGAAAAAGAAATGTAAAATAATAAATAACATTTGGACCGCATTTACAAACAGACAAGGTAAACATAAAAACACAAAAAACACCACATTATTTGTAAAATACATTTAATTCCTACATATTTGGGCAACAAAATCAGACCAAAATGTATAATAGGTATAATTGGTAAAGAGATTCATGTTCAAGCTTTCCAATTGGGTATCAAATAATACGAGATCCTTTCAACACAAATGCTATATTTAAAAACATGATCAAATACCTGGATACTGTTTTAATTTAGATTTTCCTTCATGTTATTAATTAGATAGAGATCATGCTTAACCTGTCAGGACCCCGTACAATTCTTACATGCTTCATTTCTGAGGTTCTTCATTTTTTTTTTTTTTTGACAAGTACCAGAAAAAGTTATCACAATTAAAGGCATACATTGTCTTTACATGGTAATTAGTATACTATATAGCTGTACATATTACAAGACACTTTGAAGCATATCAGCATAGGCAAAATGTGTTAACAAGACAAGGTTGCATAATGCATGTAGTAAAATCACAAATCTGATGGTATTAATTCATCAAGGATGGGGCGCGTCCTAATAGTGAGGTCTAGATAGAAGAAGTGCACGAAAATCATGTACACAGGCTTAAGAAATGGCGTAGACACCAGTTGAATAGTATTTGAACGCCACCTAGCGAGTATGGCATGGTATTACAGACTCTACATCTGTGATAGAGGTGGCAGTGAAGAGTAAAGAGCTTGTCTATCGTATCAACAACAGAGTTTATCCTTCTGAGCTCACCGTCAACAGATATCACACGTGTACATTCACACAAACATCCTTGGGTTTTCTAGTCTAGTGATTTTGTAGCACATAACAGCAATGACAGCATAGACGATTCCATCAGAATCGACCTGGATTTGCTATCTAAGTGATTAAGGGATAGGGTGTCTCATGTTATAAGGCTAGTAGGTACTGTATGTATGAATCCTCTCTATGGCTTGGCTTACTGTAACGAGGGGCAGAACTTTAGTGACCGGGGCAGTACATAAGTCCAACACCTTGTATAACGGACATGCAGAAAAACACATTACATCACTGTATATTGAGCTTAATCAGCATCAGGAGGTTGTAGATATTTATCAGCTCTCTCTCACCTATGTGGTCTCACATACATATAAGAAACACACTTTCTGAATTCAAAATGAAAATTACCTCATAGTTTACTTCTTATGTGGTTGTAAACCTTTGTAAGTTTCCTCTGTGGAACACTAAAGATATTATTGTGAAGACTGATGCTTATATAACCCCGTCGGTCCTACAGAGCTTAACCTTCTCCGAGCTGGGATCAAACATTGGCAACTCTCCGCATGGAAGTCGGTTGCTCTAACAAGGAGGCTAAAGACCATGGCCTCTGTCGCTAGAACAACTTTAGAGGTTAAGAGGAGTGAGGTTTACCTGCACAGCCCTTAACTAGCTGGCCTCTGTTACACTTACTGGGCACCCATTAACTTCCATATAATAAAAATTACCATGGTTGTCAATTTGGTGTTTTTCAAAGTAACTTCTTTTGTGTTCAACAGAAGAAACCTGAATAGGTTTTCAACAAGCCAAGGCTGATTAAATGATGGTGGATTTAATATTTGAGGGAATTATCCCTTTAATATTATTGCCTGTCTTTAAATGGCAGAAATGGTAAGATTAGTAAGGAAGAACACAGCTCCGAATTCACTGAATGATGAAAGATCAGCACCTTTAAAAGGAAAATTCCAGGTTCAACGCTTATCAGACAGCGCTTGTGGCATAATGTTGAACAAACAAACAACTAATTTGGATTCTTTACCAATGAGGCACCTAAAATAAAAACAAAATACACACTTGAAAGTACTTACATTAAATACTATTAAAGCATATTACTCCAAAGCATATATGAGTAATAATTTTGATGTTTATTGTAAGGTTTTAGACTAAAGTCGAGTATAACTTTGCAAATGTATAGCTTTCTATGTAACAATATTAACATGCATTTAAAAAATAAATGTTAACCACCAACTTCAATATTATACTGTATATATTTTTATACTTTAAAAAAGTATTTCAGTCCGAACTGTTTGGAAAAAAAATTAAAACAGGCAAAATTGATCAACATTATGTCACAAAAAGCCACTGACTTACACTACTACTCATTATATCATAAAGATTTGCCCTCACTGAGCTCTACTGAAAGAGGAATGGTGCAAAAAGCAAACAACACAGTGCTCATCAACTTCTATAAAGGCCCAATCTCAAATGGCACACTTCATCTACACTTGTGGTCTTGTGCACTTAAAACGGCTGTTGCCATCAGGGGTGTCAACTGGGATTTGGCCAAACTGAGCGGAAAGTATACTTCCCTTGCCCACGTCCAGTTCAGCCTCATGGACAGCATGTGCACAGGCCAATTGTGCTACTGTGGGAGTGATTTGAACACTTGAAACCAGTGGTCCACTAGGTTGGTCGCACAAGCCGAATGCGTTTATCTGCTTGCTCATAATGAAGTGTCCTTCAACAATGCGGAAGACTGAACTCAGGAAATTACATATACCTGGGCCTTCAAACATTCTTAATCCTTGTACTCTCATTTCCAACAAAAAAGCACCGTATTCTAGCTTACTCTCACCTAACTAACACTGTTTATTTAGTGGTTTCTCAGGAAGAGTCGAGTACATACAAACAGAGAGGAAGATGGAAAAGAGTGTTCAGTATGAGGTTCATGCTAAGAGCCGTACAGGCCTGCAAATATATACAGTTTATACATACGAAAAAAGAATAATAGTAACCCCAAAGCAATAGCGGTACTTAACAGTTAAAACACACAAAAAGAAACTACAAGCAAATAAATGTATCCATCCTTCATGTGATAATGTACTCTGTGTGTTTATAAGTCTACTGCTAAAGCTAGCCATCACCAACTACAGCGTAAACGATAGCAGACTAGTTGTTGGTGGTTCCACCGCCACTTTTCGACAAATAAAATGCACAAAAGTTGATCTGCGACTTCAGGAATTGGACAGAGCGACTACATTAGGAAACAATGGGAGATACAAAACAAAATAGGAGATGGTAGATATAAAACAAAACGATTTTTTTTGGCTGATGTTTTAAAGGTCATATCTTGCCCTTGTTTTAATACACAGGGCTGTTCCTGATGCCGCAGCAAAGCACCATGCTGAAGATCATCTCGAAGATCTGTAGAGAGAAAAACAGGAGTCAAATGGTTATAGAACGAAAGATCATGTCCACACTAATGCCTTTTCATTTGAAAATGCACATTTTTCTCCCCGTTTTGGCCTTCCGTCTTCACTGAGGCTGTTTTTAGCAAACCAAAACTTATCTTTCTGAAAACGCTGTCCAAAGTGAACACATTCATTCATTTTCTTTTCGGCTTCATCCCTTTATTAATCGGGGGTCGCCACAGCAGAATGAATCACCAATTATTCAGCATATGTTCTTCGCAGCGGATGCCCTTTCAGATGCAACCCAGCAATGGGAAAAATCCATACACACTTGTCCACACACATAGACTGCAGACAATTTAGCTTACCCAATTCACCTACACAACATGTCTTTGGACTATAGGGGAAACTGGAGCCCCCGGAAGAAACCCATGTGATCATTCGGAGAACATGCAAACTCCACAAAGAAATGCCAACTGACCCAGGTTGGGGGCAAAGTGATGGGTTGCAGCTGGAAGAGCATCCACTATGTAAAACATATGCTGGATAAGTTGGCGGTTCATTCCACTGTGACAATCCCATATTTATAAAGGGACTAAGCCAAAAAGAAAATGAATGAATGAATGTATGAACTGTGATTATGAGAACCATCTGACAAGATAAACCAGCAAAAATTAGTTCTTAAAATGTCTCTAAATTGCAATATTTATACCTCATAATTAAATAGAAAATCAGGCGAATAACTGCAAAAAAGGTTAAGTTTTTCAGAAAACAAATAACAACCCGTTTCAATCAGCTGCCTACGGGCCTGACAGTGTAATGTTAAAAGAAGGTTTAATAACTGATAAAGAGTGAGTTTAATAAAGACTTCAGTTTAATTTAGCCATAGTGCAAATGATAATCTATTTGAGTATTAATAAAAGATGGAGGCTGTAGTTTTTCTGACAAATTGTTTCAACTGAAATTGGACATGCTACCCTGAGAGATTAGGAGAATTGATCATATACTTTTACATTAGCTGTTATAGTCTGTTGTAATGTTATGCTGTGAGTTAAAGCAGGGGAAAAGACACAAGCATTAACTGCATTTTCATGATGGACTCATTCAGTAGCGAACTTGAGTTTATGTGACTTCAGTCCTTATTACCACCTTTTTTGCTGCCGCCATCCTCACACCTCACACATCTTATTCTTGCACATATGAAATTCCCTTATGCTGTTTTGGCACTGTTACTTCTGAACGCAGCTACAGCCTCTCACACAACAGCAGGGAAAGGCACAGACAATCCCAATATTCATGTGTGTTTGGTGAGTGGTGCGACTTGAGGAGAGATGATTCTGCATGTCTAGGTTGATATTGACAGCACAATTTTTTTTAAAGTGAATTAAGTTATTGGTGGGGACTTTTCAATAATTGGTGGATATTGATGTGGACGTGTCCCCTTTGTCCATGCTAAATTTACACTCCTGTTATATGGTGTCATGGCTTTACAATCAAAAAATGTCACTAACATAACGAAAAGGTAGACCCCTTGAATACTACACAAAATTTATAAAAACCTCTCATTTTCTTCAACATTTTGCTGCAACATTTCAAAGAAAGAGAAAGCAAACAAATGCCAGGCAGATATGACACCGGTAAAAGCGTCTTACTTCTGTGCGTATGTGCAGTACGTGAATGAAAGTGTTTTGGGTTGTTTTGGTGTGGATGACCATTTTTCCAGAAATTATTGAAAATGATAACATGGGCATGGAGTGTTTTTAGATGAAAAAGCTGTTTTCAAATTGATCTGAATTAGTGTAGATATAGCCTACGCTGACACACAGTCCCCAATATAAGCACACTCAAACTCACTCACCATGATTACAGCAACAACCAGGGCAGCGATGCCGATCAGGCTGATCTTGTCAGTGAAAAGATTCTTGATCTCGGTGTGACAGTCCTGAAAAACATTTTTTTTTGTCATGCTACAGTATGCTTGACATTTTGATTGAGAATTCTTTATTTTAATGCAGTAACAAAGAGTGACATACCACAGCATTTGTTCTTAAATGTTCAGGACAGGTGTCAGTGAGCCACCTATCAACAATGGCTGTAAAAAGGTTTCCTTTGCCACAGCACTGAAGCTGAAATCCAGAGATAACACTGATTAGATATTTGCGTTTCTCCAACACCATTTGATTTATAAATTAATCACTTGATGATGGTCTTGCTCCTCACTAGGTGAAGACCACTTACAGTCTCATGAAAGACCTTTAGGACAGCAGTGGCAGGATTCTTGTTGTCAGTGTTGTAGGTAGCGCCTTTGTCATACACAGAGTCATAGAAACCGATTACCTCTTTGGAGATCTGAAAAATATAATGGAGGAAGAAATCATTACAAATATATTGTAAACAGATTTGCATTTGTTAGTTTTAATGCTGTGTGTATATTAGCGATAGGCCGATTCTTGAAAATAACAACAACAAACTGTTTGATTCTCTTGTTACGGTATTGTTTTGTGTCATGAGGCCACATCATGTCAACCTTCGCATTTTTTTCTAGTGTTTTCAACCAAAGGGTGGCAAGAAACATTAAAGATCCGATCCTCCGTTTATTTGCAACCCATACAGCTGAACCCCCAGGGGATGCTACTTGCTCTTAAACGTGAATTTATTGTGCACTTTTATTTTATTTAGGCATGAAAACACTTTAAAGTAAATATAAAAATGATGGCATTCCCTTCCTTTTCATTACAGGCACCTTCGCCCCTCCTATGCAATCCTCAAAAAAGTTCACGGAATCATCACCATCCTGATAAATAGATGCTGTTTCCCAAATGGATTCTGCACATGCTATTTGAAGTGGAACAAAAGTGAATACTCTGGGCTTGGGGTGCGTGTTTAAACCAAGCGACAACCTCCCGCTCTTCAATCGTGAAGCCAATACGGAGGTAACTGAAACTGCAATTCATTGACTGGCCTTTGGGTGCTGGCTCCAGTCCAGATATTCACTGACTGCAATGCTAAATTGGCCAATTTTACAGCTGATAAAAATATGTTTACAGCCTGGTACAAAAGACGGCTTTGGTGCATATAGCTAATATTACTCTTCATGACAACTGTGAGGGGTTCCTTTTTTTATAACTCACCCGTTTCGTTTTCATTAAGGTATATTAAGTATGCATAATTAAGGGCATGACCACTTGAGAGACCGCCAGGTCAGGCTAGTCACTGTCATGTCACCTCAGCTGATTCCAGCTGATTAGCTGCTGAACTCAGCATATATATTGTATTTTTGTTTTGTTTTATTTGGCTTTACACAGTCTGTTGTCTTTTGGAATTATTTCCTACAATTATCAGATGATATGGCATGTTGTGTGCACTTAATTGTGCTCAAAAACCATTTAAGTTGCCTCCATTTCTTAGATAAGTAAAATTGTATACCATATCTATACAGTTTTATGCAGTTTTACTTAAGATAATTTTATCATTTATAATTTTCTTTAGAACTGTAATGCACTACAGAATCTGACAGATTGATTAGCTGTAGGCTAATGAACAGTAATCGGAAACATTGACATACATGTTATGCCTGGATTTCATAAATAGGCTTGCATTTACTGACACAGACTATATTTTAAGTATTTGAAAGTTATTAGCTTTTTCCTCCTGTAGAAAAATGTCACAAGAACAATGCTTAGTGGCTCAATGTATTACAACAGTGTTTTTAAAAGACTAAACATTATTGATTTAGTACAAAGCCGAGCACATGTGGTCAGAACACAAACGAGTCGCAGGTAACAAAGTACTATATCAAGCGTTTCTCCCAAAGAAAAGCCCGTCTAAGAAAAGTGCTAGCAGGCGTTTGTAGATCCACTGACACTCCGTCTCTTTGCCCTTGTTTGGTATCCCCTGGTCTGTGCGATGACGTCCAAACAAAATGGGGACGATTGGCCGTGCCTACTTGTAGCTTTATTTGCACTCTTCAGAATCCTATGGGTGACGTCACGGATACTACGTCCATATCTTTTACAGTCTATGGTTTGAACAGACATATCCACATAATAATGTAACCATGTCGATCTTGGTGGGTTTTCTTTTAAACACACCAAATTTAGTCTTAAATGAGCATAAACAGTTAGGAAAGCTTTCATTTTAGATCTGTGCATTTTTGAAGTGACACCTCTGTTATTTAATGTAATCACATGAAAAATAGAAATGAGAGATTCATTTGCTGCTCTTTAATCAGAGTGTTTAAATTATACAGTGAAGAAAAGGTTAATAAGAATTGATGACGATTCAATTTCTTTATAATAGCAACAAAATTGAATAGGCTGTTTAATTTATTTGCAGCTTTTTCAAATGTACTGTATGCTATTTATTATTTCCTTTGTAAATAATAATAATAATAAAACATATTACTAATCGTTTCAACTATTTATTTACAATGAAACAGCTCTAGATGAACATTTTTAGTAATTTGGTTAATAAATAAAAAATTTTAAAGGGGTTTTCCCTTATTTCCACATCCCTATGTTGACCAGTATGGGCCATGCAAAGCATAACAAAACTGTGACACAAAATAAACTGTTGATTTTGTGAAGCATTTCACCCCTAGTGTTTATATGTGCATGTCGAAAGAAACAGAAACCTTGTCTTTGTTCATGAATCCCCAGATTCCAGCGGCAACCTCACAGGCAAAAAGAAGGACCAGGCAGGCAAAGAACTGTGGGAGGGAAAGAAAAAAATGTGGATGTGTCATTTCACCAAGTAAGACATGTTCCTGAAACAACATTTGATGATCCTGAAACAACATTCTAGTCTAAAAATAATCTGACCCCTATCTCAACCCCTAAATCTAACCCTAAACACAATCTATCTTTAAAATTACAGCAAAATGATGTTAAAACCCTTGTTTTAAATCTACACTTCACATTAACAGCAAACCTACCTCTTTAGTCTGATTGAAATGTTGTTCCAGGATTGACAAATATGTAAGATTAAGAAATGTTGATAAGGGGTGTTCTGAATAAAATCAAACAAACTAGCATCTCAAACTTTTGCACAAATTTATTAAATTGATCAGAATAGGCAGGCTATAATTTATTTAATAAAAAACAAACTAAAGACAGATTAATTCTAAAAATCTACATTTACCATTACAGAAATATTTAATTGCCAATTGAAAAAGGAATTCAGGCTAATTCTCCCTCAAATGGACTCTGACCTATAGCATTAATACTGAGCTAGTGTACTGTTTTGTTGAAATCTGGCAGGACTGGGCTGGCTTTAACGTTCCTGAGCGTAGCGCAATCTTTACCAAAAAATTTAAAGACATTTAAGAGACCATCAAATGTTTGCAGAATAAAAGGATCAACGTTGACAGCATGAGATTGGTTTACGTGTGTATTGCAATCGGGGCTCAATCACTCTAAGCACCTCTATCACCAATACACTTCAAGCAAATCTGAAGAACAAATGAGTTACTTACGGTTCCAAGAAGACACTGGGACTCCTGAATGGCTCCATAGCATCCAAGAAATCCAACAAACATCATCACAGCGCCGACGGCAATCAAGATGTAGACACCTACAAGAAGAGCATATGTATTAGAATGAACAAAAATCCAATTCTTTAAAATTGTTTCATCCTTAAATAAATACAGGATTATCTGTATTATAAACATAGGGTATTTAGATGTATTTCAAAGTTTTAAGATTCAAATCAAGATCGGAGAATCATTCGATCAAAATGGTTGTTCAACTGAAGGTGCAGTATTGCTGGTGATGGCCAGCAGGAGTCACTGTGTGCTCACGTTGATAAGGCTGCACGTTAAACTGCAGAACATTTGGAAGTCATACTGAGGGGCCCAAATTAACTTTTTGTTTCCATTCCCTCATTCCTCTCATAAAAAAACCTCGAGCTAACAGCAAATCAGGGTTCTTATGTAACATGACATGTAAAAGCAAAAGGAAAAAAGAGAAAAAGAAGAGAGTTAAAGACAGCTTTCTTAGAAGAAAATAAAGAAGGAATGCAAAAAAGAAAGGACTCTTTCTTTTCAAAGTGTTTACATCACTTGGTAACACAGGCTGATTGATACTGCCTTAACCATAGCAACTGCAGCGGGCCCTTGGGTGTTTGCATGGATGTTCAAAATGGCAGTGTATAGAGAGATAGTAAGAGAGAGAGAGAAAAAGAACAGAAAACTCTCTTAAGAAACATTCACCCATCCGCTCACAATGTAATCACAGTGAGTCAACATGGAGAACATGAGTGAGCATGAATCTTGCAACTTTATCTTCCATTGTGTCACACCTTTTCACCCTTACATGTTAGCTTCTGTTTTTCCCCAAGTACCATTATTTAAAGTTTATTTATTTATTTATTTTTAAACATGATTAGTTATATTCTAGTTAGTCTGATAAACTGCTCTGAAAGCAGTTCAATGAATTCTGTCTCCTCTAGCGTGCTTGGTTGTGTCTGATGGAACTGCACATCGGTGGAGTTGCTCTTCTGTGTTTCAGCGAAAGCATTTGCATTAGACTGAACTGAACTAAGCTCAACTTTAACTGTGACAACTGAACTGAAGCTGCAGCTTTTATTTACTAGAAGTTTGTCTATTTTAAGCTGCCTTAAGCAATACAGTAATACAATAAATTTTAAGCAACATTTTGATTCGAAATAAACAGATGCAAACAGATTTGACTGATTTTATATTAAACTGCAAAAAACAAATAAAACATCCAGACATTTCTTTTCCCTAAATCAATTACAAATTGCAGTTCTGCCCCAAACTACTGATAGTATTATTTGTAAAAAGGCTTTTATTCCAAACAGCCAGCCAAAAATAAAGAATAAATAAATAAAGGAAATTCGCCATAAGAACAAAAATATAATAGGGAATACTGTGAAAATGATCTTGCTCTGTTAAACAGCACTTTGGAAATATTTGAAAAAATATTTCAGAGAAATAATTTTGTCTTCCACTGTTTTTGTCAATACAACATAAATACATTAGGGTTACATCTACAAATGTATCTGTAACATATTAAACAGAAATATCTCATTAAAATATCTCATTAGCTAAAACTGATAGACCCCACTTTACTGTTTTGAACTACACGCTTGAATCAGTATTTAATCCTGTATTTAATTAACTAAATTCCTTAAAACATTTGAAACATCTTTATATTTTATTTAAAGAAGTATCTGATTTTCTTAACCTTTGTAATGCACAAAATACTGCATTAACATTCCCATGGGAATAACAAAGTGTCTGCCTTAACATCTCCTTTCAAACTTTAAGTCATCACTTAGTTACATCCAGCCAAAACAAAGCCAAACACACTTAGTTTCCAGTAGTCTGCAAGCGCATTGTAAATATTGTGTTTTAGTAAATTAATGAATAAAAAGTACTCCTTAACACAGAAATATCTGATTATCCAACTGTTAACACATCAAACACCCTCTATTCAATATTTAGCTTCACAAAGAGAAACATCAAATTATTGAAGTAAACTTGTTTGTAACTTTGAGTTCACATAGACTTAAAGAAGAGAATTACACATTTTTTTAAAGACAGATAGCAAACAGGAAACTCTTTCTGTTAGGAAACCCATTCTCTGTGATTCATCACGGAAAATGAGTGAGCATGAATTGTCTTACAACAGTACCTTCGCCTTTTGTGTCATATCTGTTGAGTCACCTTCTGTTTTTCTGCAATTCTTTCTGATGTTTATTTGTTAATTTACTATTTTTCTTTCCATGATCCCCCCCCCCCCCCCCCCCCTTCAGTTTGGTGAAATGTGCAAGCTTTTTAGTCAAACAATCAATTAACTGATTGACCCCATCTAAAAATTTGACGCAAACACCCAAAATCAATTTTATCAATTTCGTAAATGTCTGAATATGGAGCCAGATCAATCTGAAAAATAATACTTTGCATTCATAAAATTCATAAATGCATGGCACAAACATAACATTCTGATTACAGAGGCGATTGACAAAATGATATTCTGAAAATGCCAGCATTTGAATCACTGATTCATTCAGTAAAAATTGCTACTGAATGCATTGATTTGAGCGGTTCGCAAATGACATTAGATCATCATACTCAGTATTACTGATATATAACATTACTCATCTAATTTACGTTTTAGCTGTTGCATACTTATAAGGCCTACACGGAAGTCGAGTCTGCTGGTCACTACAAATTCAATCGCTCCATGCTGTGCAATGTGACAGTTTTACTACGGATTATGACAGCTGGTCAGCAAAATAAACAGATGACATGCTAAGATAAATAAGTATTATGACAGTCTGATATTTGTGCCAGTATGTCAAGATAAAATTGCTTAAAACACCTTACTCTACTGGAAAAAAAAAGATTCAAAGATGATCCCTTGATTTCTAGGTGATTGCAAAAATTTATTTTGGTTGAATTTAAACAAACAAATTAAGTTAAACATTACTACAGTAAATGTAATCTGTTTTTTTTTAATTCAGGCGTCATGGTGGCGCAGTGGGTAGCACAATCACCTCACAGCAAGAAGGTTGTTGTTTCAAACCTCGGCTGGGTCAGCTGGCATTTCTGGCGATCCCAGATTAATAAAGGGAATAAGCCGAATGAATGAATGAACGAATGAATGAAGAATGTTTAAATTCAACTTATATACATTTTTTGCCAACAATTTTGCAGAATAATATTTTTCAGTGTATGACGTAATTTTGATGACAAATGTCTAATAATACTCCTGAAACAATTTATTTTATTTTATATAAAAAAACATAAAAATTAAATGGTGGATCTTCTTGACTTTGTTCAGTAAGGAGTGTTTTGATTGGTGGATGTAAAATTGACCATGATTGGCTAAACAGAATAATCTCCCAAAAAAAAAAAAGATTTGTACGAATCATGTCCTGCCAGGAATGTCTCAAAAATACCGCACAAAAATTCGAGTGAGCATTTTCAAATGCACATTCAGTGGTTCATATACATCTAACTTCTTCTTCTTTGGCCTTAGTCCCGTATGGTTGCGGGGTCAGCTCCTCCATTTAGACTTGTCCACATGATAACAACTTTTTTTTTTTTTTTTTACACATTCCGGCCGGTCTGTCGTCTGGGCCTGTCACCCTCATACACTCATACACTACAGACAATTTAGCCTACCCAATTCACCTGTACCGCATGTCTTTGGACTGTGGGGGAAACCGGAGCACCCGGAGGAAACCCACGCGAACGCAGAGAGAACATGCAAACTCCTCATAGAAATGCCAACTGAGCTGAGGTTCGAACCAGCGACCTTCTTGCTGTGAGGCGACAGCACTACCTACTGCGCCACTGCTTCGCCTTCATATACATCTAACATAATTCATAAATGCATGAGGAAAGTAATCCAATAGCTTCAAATATACATAAGTGTGCAAACATTTTAAATGTATTTATGGATGATGCACATGTGTGAGCATTTGGGAAATATTTTAGCTTTTTACTTTAGAATTGATGAACTGTGTTTTAAATTATTAAATGGAGTTGTGGATTAATGAACTTTACAAATACAAATGTATTGTTTTGAGACTGATCTGGCTCATATCTGAATGAACATTACATTGTATGTACAGTTGAAGTCAAAATTATTAACTCTTCTATGAATTTGTTTTTCTCTTTCAAATATTTCCCAAATTATGTTTAAGAGAGCAAGGAATTTTTAACAGTATTTCCCATTATATTTTTTCTTCTGGAGAAATTCTTATTCATTTTATTTTGGGTAGAATAAAAGCAGTTTTATAATTTTTTAAAAAACATTTTAAAGGCAAAATTATTAGGCCACTTAAGCATAATTTCTTTTCGACTGTCTAAAGAACAAACCATTGTTATACAATGACTTTCCTAACCCTAACTTACCAAATTAACATAATTAACCTAGTTAAGCCTTTAAATAGAACTTTAAGCTGAATAGAAGTGTCTTGAAAAATATCTAGTAAAATATTATGCACTGTCATTATGGCAAAGAAAAAATAAATCAGTTACTAAAACTATTATGTTTAAAATGTGTTGAATAAAATCGTATTTCCATTAAACTGAAATTGGGGAAAAAATATACTGGGTTGCTAATAATTCAGGGGGGCTAATAATTCTGAATTTAACTGTATATCATAAGCAAACTGTATAATGCCAAAAACAAAAGCAAGTTTAGTTTTTCTATCCTGCCAAGCTTCTCTCTCTCTCTCTGTCTGTCTCATCCTCAGAGCTGCATTCTGACACACCCAATGCGCTTCTAGCTTCAGTGAAGCTCCTGGTAACACAAACTGAATTTTCAGAGCATAATTAAATTAAATTTTTTTACCATCTAAATGTCCCACTGTCATTTAGTGACCGAGCCCGTTCCCTTGCAAGAGAATTTTACACAAAAATCAATGCAATGTGGGTTGAAACGGGAGGGGACTGGCCGAGTCCTGGTTCCATTTACTTAATTGCGGTGAGTAAAGGGCTCAAACAACTGCCACCAGGCCATTTCTCAGCGTGACAGGCCTGAAAGGAGTGCTGCGATGTGTCCAGCATACTGAACAGCTGCATAATATCCACATAA